ATGTTGGACGTTTTGATTTTGAGAAATTAACTTCCTCACTGAGAAAAGATAGGGGATGAGATTTTCACTTGAAAGGCAGTGCAAAGCTGTATGCTTTGAACCTTCTTTCTTGTTGCTCTGCTCCGCTGTATTTCTTGCCTCCAGGACAAGTTTGGAAGCAGGACTGGGGAGTCTGACTTATCCAGAAACTGCCAGCCAGATTGTTTCCCTTGGATCAGGCCCTATCTCGGCAGATACATCCTTGACTTTTCACAGGCAAAAGAAGCACTTTAATAGAAAAAACAAGATACTTCCCAGAGTCCCACAGCTTTCATTTTGAACTATCGCCCCTAACAAGGGACCTTAAAACTGACCCCGAGATGTTAATTTAACCATTACAATTCCATTAGTCTAATTTGTCATGAAACATCTTTAACTAATTACCTGCATTTGTAAGTTATTCCACATGTCATGAGATAAGAAATGTAGCGAGTCATAGGTCACTGCTTTGGGCTGCCATCACATAACACAGACCCCAGATGAAAGAGAATTTGGAGTTGATAGCAGGAATCTAAATGACAGCTACTCAGTCAGGACGAGGGAGCCAGGGCTGTAATGTAAAAACTGGACTGTTGTTTTAGAAGTGGTGTTTTGGAAAGGATGGGGCATGCCCTCATTAGCAGAAGAAGATCTAGGCAGACTGGACATAATGAATTCCTATGAGCATTTTTCTTGGAGGTGGTAATTTGATAAATATGGGTCCCTACTAACGCCATTTGCTAAATTTGGCAGGCAATAGTATTACAATTTTATGATGGAATATGGAACGCCCCCTTTTCAAAGAGACCTGATTATGTTCTGAACGTTTCTTAAAAAGCTCATTTGGGAAATGCTGTTGGTATCTTCACATGACAACCATTGAAAGGAAGGGAAAGACCAATTAGTGATCTGATTAACAGTTGCTCAAGCCTTTCCTTGGGTTAGTGTGTTTGGATTTGGCTCCCTGTTACTTGCTGGAGATCTGTCCATGAATTTACAGTGGGATTTGCAACAGGATGCATGCCTCAAGCAGCTTGCTCTCTTAGATATAGGGAACTGCAAACTTCATTTCTCTTATTGCAGAGCATGTAACAGGCCCTCTAGAGATTAAATGAAGGCCTTTGCATGTGATTAAAGCAAGATGAAACACTAAAAAATGCTCCCTTTCGTGTTTGCATTTCCTTCTCCACCACAGAAGGAGGGAAGGGGAGAAGTATCTGAGAGCTCTTCCCCTCTCCCGATGTCCAGAGTGTCGACCAATTTCTGGGTGCTTGTGCTGGCTGTGAGGGGCCATTAACTCCCCCCTGCCCTTCTGTTCCTTAGCTGATCCTTACCAGATAGCAAATGCGATTGAATTCGCCCTTCTCATCACTCAGTGATCGAAACAAAGGGGCAGCAGGGACACAGCTGTGCTGCTCCTGCCAGCCCTACCTTTGTGCTCCCTGAGCGGGGACTCTCTCCAAGCTGTAAATCAGAGCTCCTCCAAATCGGAGAGGCTGCCACACATCGGAGCAGGAGCAGGAGCTCCTTGTGATCACAGCAGGGAGGGCAGGAGGAGGAAGCCCCTGACCAAGCTGCCTTTTCTGTAGTCAGGGCTTTATTCAAACAGTGAGGAATAGAGAGGACCTAGGACCTCTGTCCTGCTTTCAGAGGTGGCACAAACCTGCTGCAGTGGCTTTGCAGCGTCCTGGTGTTTCCTGCCAGCCTGAGGAAAGGCTGAAATCCTCCTCTTCCTCTAGGCCCTGAAGCAGTCCCGGAGATCTGCTGGAAGCTTTCCATGGTGATCTATTACTGCAGATTTAAGCTTCCCTACCAATACCTTTCCCTGACATAGCCGGGGGGAGAAGGGGCTCACTGATTTGTATCTGCCCCTTATCATCAGGTGAGGAGGGGCTGCCCCCAGCCCTGCCCCACAGCTGCCACCTGCGCTGTTCCCACAGCCCCGGCCTGTTGGTTCCTCCTCCTTTCCTCTGCGGAGGTTCACCTGTTATTTTTCTGCCTTATATTCCTACAGATCTCCAAGTCCCCACATTTTTAGCCTGTCTGCAATGGGCATGAGGTGTCTGCCGGGTTGCAGTGAGGAATCACAGCCAATCCATCCTTTCGATCTCTTGCTTTTATCCTAAGCTGTGCAGGGAGGCCCTCCTGCGCCTGTCGCCTTGCGTCCCTGGCTGTGCAGCGTGGCTGGGTGTTGTAGATTAAAGGTGAAGAGTAGAGGAGGGAAAGAAAGCAGGAGCGAAGCAGCTGCTTAATGAGATAGAGCGGCTTTCCTCTTGGAAACTGCTTATCCATAGCCTGTCTGTTGGTAATGGCACAGAGTATTTTCTTTATGGAGCATATAAGCACTGTTTTCCCAGTTTGATATATTTTACCCTTTTGCAGGATCATCTTTTCGCCCTGGTGGCATTAAATCATTCTGGATTGTAAGCAATCCACACATACTTTTCCAAGCTGCTTAGCTCTGCCCTGTGTATCTTTTGCCTCCTAGTTAGGATAAATTCCAAGTGTCCTGAGGGGCTAAAGCTAAGATGGTGTCAGCCTATCCCTAAGTTTGGGCCCTCATCAGGGTAAGGAAAAGACTGATCTGGGATTTTTCTGATGCCAGAAGGTTTTTGATGTGGCTTTTATAGATAATGTCACCAGATATAAATGATACAGAGGGGCTGGTGAAATGGCAGGACCATGGGCTGGGACTAGGAGTGTTTTCCTCTGAAGGGAGGGCATCTAAAATGGGAGAGGCTTTGGGAGTGTGGGAAAGACGGATGTTCTGCATTGAAGAGCTGCGTGAATCTGTCACAGGGAGGGTTAGAGGGTTTGAACCCTGGGGCAGAAGAGAGAAACCACCTCGCAAGGGACTGAAGGACCTTAATTTGGGCTGTTCACATGACTGTGTCTTCCCCATCCTGTGCGCATGACTGCAAGCAACACTCGTATTTGCTGATGGAAATGTGGTAGCTCTGTTTTCTGCCCTACCTGCATCCCCTTGTCTCCTTGCTTGTCCATATACTATTAAACGCCCTATGGCATTATATAATTAAAACAGATGATTATGCAGATGTAAATGGATCTCTAAGGAAACCTAGTACATGGACATAACACCAGGGGGAAGTTCCAACTGATTATGCAGCTTTAAAATAGTATCTTCTTTTAAATATTAAAAATACTCTTACATTTTTTCTTCCTTTTTAATGCGAGCTCTTCAACATTTTCCTCTCCAGGTAAATTGTGAAACAGAAGAGAGGGAGCTCAAGCCTAACAAAGAGTGCCTTGTAAAAGTGCAGGCTGTAGCTTTCTGGGCTTGGAAACCTCTGAAGACCACAAAATCTTTCCTCTGGCTTGCAACACCCTTCCCCCTTCCACGCAGAGTGCAAACCCTTTGTGCATTTATCTTTCAGAGCTGTGACTTCCACTCTCATTTTTATTAGCTGTGAATTTTCTCTCTTTCAAAGGAGAGATTCCTCCTTTGGGAAAGTCTTGGCCCTGCAAGTGCCCTGGGCTTAAATAGTGTAGAAACTCCTTGTTTTGTGCTATTTCTCCACTGCTACCTCCAGTTCATGATTTCTGTTCCTCCGTGACCTCTGCTAATGTGCAGCATGGCACGAATGTGTGGTTCTCCCTCCAGTTCTAATGAAATGTGGCTGTGTTACAGGCACAGATAGGGATGTTGGAGGAACTGGCGGCCTCTCGCCAGCACCGTTTCTTGTTATGCAGTGAGAGGAGGTTCCACTTTTCCCTTCTCCTTCATCAGTCTGGTTTCATTCAGCCTTTTCAGTTACAAGCAGGTGATGACATTACTGCCCATGTTTCCTTGTCCCAAAGCTTAAAAGATGTTCAACGCCCATGGCAACCCCTCTCCATTCTCATTCTCCATTCTACCTTGATGATGACAGTGCCTTTCTAAGCCACAGTGATCTTGCAAGTCTTCACAGCAGGTAATCCATCCAAATCCAGCTTCTTTCCCAGAGAAGGAGTTTGGAAAGGGAAAGCTCCATGAGGGTATTTTCCCTTAATATTGGTGGATCCATGTCTCTACGGCTGCTCAGTCCCTTCCCATTGCTGTCAGCCAAATTCTAATTACAGAGTACATTCGTTATGTTTAAAGGAAATAGGAAAGAAAAGAAAGAGTCTAAATCAAAGCTACGTGCACATTTGCTGTCACCAGGCCCAGAGGTGGAGCTGCCCTGGCACTCATACTGCTGATTAAAGGATAATGGGTTGTGTAAAGAGAACTGCATAGTCTTCTCTAAGAGTGAATCTGCAGTGGAGCAGGAGGTGCCGTGTGTGTGGAGGGACCCAGGGACCGAGGGCTACTCGGTGCCTGGCGCACTCTGTACACATTGCACCTCTGACAGCAGTCCTCAGAGCAGCATCAGGAAGGCTGGCAGACCATGGCAGAACTTCTCTACCTCATTATGTGCTGAAAAGCAACTGGTTTCTACTCATTAGACACTAATCAAGGTCACCCCGTTGTTACTGAATGCTAGGCATTCACTGCACTCTTGGCAGGAGGGCTTGCTCTGCTCCTGTGTGTTCAACAACAACAAAAAAAGGAGAAGTCCTTTGGCCAACCATCTGTTGGAGCACAGGCCGCAGACACAGCGTGGATGCAAACGCCTGAGTGCGTTTTGGAGGTGTGCCCTGTGACCCATCTTTCCATGGAGGAATTCACTGAGAAAATAGATCACACTAGGCTGCTCCTGGAACTGCAGTTAATCGTGCCTTTTCTATATTATTGCTACAGGATTAACACAAACATCGCTCCTGTTTTCAGGCTTATCAAAGGCAGCAGCACATCACTGTAATCTCCTATTTCCCTGCTCTCTTTAAAAGGTTTAAATGAATGAAGTGCTGATGAGCAAGGATGTGGTGCCAGCAGGGATGGTGTCATTTAATGCCTCGCTATTTGTGCTGTTTAATGCCTGTGTGACTTTATGTGTCCTGGGTGACTTGCTAACCATCTGGCATCCTCCACCCTTTCACAGGGCAGACGGAGGTGTAGACAGCATCTCCATTTCTCCTGTCCAGGGAGTGACCAGTGACAATGAACCAGCGTCGGTCGGATGTGCCCGTTTCTGCTCTGCACCTCCTCTCTCCCAGGAAGATGAAGTTTGCAGGCTATGGCTTGGAGACTCTTGAGACTGGGCTGCTCTGATACGAGTAAGGTATGGGCACATAACAGTATTTTTGTTGAGTTAGCTGGCACACACAACCTGGATTTTTCTTCTGTCTGTGAAAAGGGGAACCTATCTGGTCTGCCTTAGCACCTGTTTGTGCACAGCTCACTCATCAGAGGATTTCAGGAGAGATGAAATCAGCAGAATTGGTGCATATAACATCAGCTCCTTGTCCTAAGAGGCCTACAGCTGGATTTACTGTATCGTTGAATCACTGTCTCAATTTTCAGCTTTACAATGTCCCCTAATCACAAATAGTTGGGTCGTGTCCTCCAGTCTGCTAGGAAGTAGGCTGAGATCCATCCAGCCGCTTTTACACCACTGTCAGCTGGCATTAACTTTCAGTCATCTTCTCCTTTGAGGCCAAGCTGAAGTTGGTGACCTAGAAGTAAAACATTCCATTGTGTTAGCAGGTGTTCCCTGGAGTTTTTCAGTCTAAGTCGGGATGTTTTCTCAGCTAGTTCTCATCCTGTGGCCATTGTATCTGCCAACAATTGTCTTTGGTAGCAGGTTGATTCATTCCTTTCTACTTTCTCCTGTGTCTAGCTGCTCTGATCACAACTAAATGAGGGCTTTCATTAGTCTGCGGAGTAGTCATGCTATCTACTATGAAACATTCATTTTCCATGATGACATTCTCAGGCATTAAATTACAGATTCCCTGATACTTCTGGAAGCAGGACAGACTGGAGCCTGTGTTTGACACTGCGCTGTTGGTGAGCGATGCAGCTGCGGGGTCAGACCCTGCAAATGCTCAAGCCTGTGAGAGTCCTTGCACGAGTGAGGACTAATCATGTCCATGAGCAGTTTCACCATCAGCCCTCATGTTATGAAATCCATTCTGAGCAGAGCTGATTGTCTACTCGGAGGTGCTTACCAGTGATGTTGCTGAGAGTTCATTTTGTTCGGTCTTTTTATGGAGGTGCCCAGCTCACGTTGCAATTTTAATGCAGTTTGTTAATATGAATAAGCTGTATTTTTTCTCTTTTTTCTCTCTTTTTTTTTTTTTTTACATTCAGATTCAAGGTCAGATGCAACTGGCTAATCTGAGGAGGCATCTAATGAGTTGCCAGCCTCCCATAATGTCCACAATTTGAGATGAGAAGCGGCACCACCTTATTACTGTGATAGTCGATTGCAAGGGGAAGTGCAGTGGAGGAAAGGCCAAGGTAATGTAACATGTGAGTGGAATAGCACTCAATCCATGCATTATGAAATTGTCATTCTGCGCCACTGTTCAACATAAATGGACTAATCTTCAGTTTGAAAATGAGGAGAGCTTGACTGTTAAAGAATAGGTCATTTGGCTTCTGGCAGCAGCAGTAGATGCTGTAATATTAGCTATAAGAACTTGTGCATTCTTGGTAAAGGAGATAAAATTGATTGAATTGTACTGCTTGCTTCTCTATCTTCTGAAGTAATTCATATTTGGACCTGGATTCATCTGAGTATTTGCATAATTCCTGAGGCCATTCTTATTCAGCCATGCATTTCAGTTTGTGCTTAAACTTCAGCAAGTGCTGAAGTTGCCTGTAGTTCCTGGGGCTTAAGCTTTGCAGGACAAAGTCTTAGCTATTAGTTTAAAATGTTTCAGTGGCTTCTGAGATTTCTATGCTGTAGCAAATGGAAGTTTGCTGTATTTGTTGCATTAAGGGCTGAATATTGTTTAATGACTCAGTAAGTGAAGCTAAGGGCGAGGCTCTTGGGGCTCAGGAGAGGATCATTTTCTGTTGGTAACGCAACAAAACTTTCTTTCTGCTGGGTTTTCTTTAAAGGGGAAGAGTCGCACCAAAAAGAAGCTTTTGTTGGTCTCTTTGACACATGAATTCTTGAGGCTAAATTCTGCTCTTAATTACCCTTCATTAATCCAGCGTAATTTGCTAACTTCGGTAGGACTATACCAGGTAGGAGCCACTGTTAATGCAAATTGTAGCACAGCTTTAACAAATATTTTCCTGTAAGATATTCAGGTATTGAAGAATGTATTTCTGTTCAAACTTGGGACAGCTTTGAGGGAGGACTAATGGATCATAGTGGAAGCAATGAGGGAACTCATGGCCCCTAGAGGAAAGTCTACAGTTTGGGGTGGATTAAAAGTGCAGTGATGGCTAAAAATGGAGATTGACACTAATTCGCCTGTCTCTGTGATGGATAAAGGACTTTTCTGTAGTGGGTGGACGGGATTGTCGGAGTGGTAACATCTTAAATCCTCCCCTAGTGGCTCTCTAGAACTTGTTAATCAGGTCACAAGACAAATGGAAATTTTTAAATTTGGGTTGTACCCAATCTGAAATGAAATAGCTGGTTACAGTTTTTGAAATAAAATATGATAAAGGTTTTCTTTTTCCTTTGAGAAAAATCATTTTTAAAGTTTTATATAGAAAATCCACTATAGAATAGATTTATGACCTGAAGTCTTGTTCACAGTTGAAACTGGTGGGAATTTTGCTGTTAACTTCCATGTAGCCAGAATTTCACTGGGGTTTCCTTTGTGGCAGCCATGTGCCTTTTATCCGGAGGTATTAATGTAGCTTCAAAGTTTCTTGGCCCACTTAAATGAAAGGTGTTCTTATATATCTCACTGATTTGTCAGAGATCTTGTTCCATTGAAGGCAACACCATTTTAGTTTGTATCGCAGAGACTCACAAGGATCTTCATATGTATTTGTTAGAGAGGAAATAGGTAACACATGCTTTTAACATGCCAGTAGCAGAAGGAAGGACAAATGTTCAGGTTAATGCTGTTCTCTGCTGGGCTGTGTTCGGAACATTGCTGTAAAATATTTGTTCTGTGAAGGGGAATTGCTGCAGGTACCAGATGTAGGTGTTTACAGTGGGATCATATTTCTGTTTTAATGTAGTGCTGTACATCATCCTGTCTCTGTTTGCTCGGTCCCAGTGCATACGATGATTCATCTACTGCAGAATTTCCCTGTCTCTACAGCAGATTTTATTAACCCCCAGAGAGGCCTGTTTGGAAGCTGATTTCCCATCCCAGATTGGGGTCCCCCTATTAAGACTCTTCTGTGAGCAAGGAGCAGTTCATCCCTCATCCCTTTGCTGGGTGACTGGAGCCCTCTTCTTAACCTGAGGCAAGGAGTGACCAGCAGGGAGAGAGGGGAGAGAAGGGGGAAGAAGAATCAAAGGGGGTTGGGGAGATACAAACATTTCTGCATTAAAAGGAATATTCAGAGAACTATTTTTATAAGATTCACTTATTTTAAAAGTTGCTAAAATGAGTTTAAAATATTTTTGCTAAACTAAGCAACATTAACTGAGGGCACAACTAATTCTGGACTTAACTTACCCATTCTTCCTTGGAGTTAGGGCTAACTCAGAGCAATGTGCTAATTTTGCACTTTCAGCCCATTTCTGAGTGCTTTACTGGCAGGCCTCACTCTACTGAGGACAGATCTGGTGGATATCTGAAGAATGAGACCCTCCATGGAGGAAATGGTCCCTAGGAGGGCCCTCAGAGTAGACTTTCAAAAGTAGCCAAAGTTCTGCAGAAGGGCTCAGCAACAAGCCCTCCTGCTGTGACAGATGGCTGCCTCTGTATTTCAGAAAATCTTGGCACTGAAGCTTGCTGCAAGTTGTCTATTTTCTTGTATTCGACAGGAAGTTGGGTTTTCTATTAAAAATAGTAAGTGTGGAACAGGCAGATTTCCTTCCAACATTCTATTTATGTGTGAGACACATATAAACACGTATATTTGTATGTGTTTTGGACAGAGGAATTCCTGCTCCATTCATTTACAGCCCACTCTACTTGGAGAGCTGTGTGGCAGTTGCCTTGGAATATCTGATTGCCTGTTCTGATACCTCAACAGCATGAAGCTTTCCTGAAGATTTGCCCCAACACCAAGTGTGCAGCGGGTGATGGAGCAGGCAGAGCACCCCAGCGTGCTGCTCACGTGCAGGATTTCCCAGGTGAGGTGAGTTCCCCTTCAGCCTCTCTGGGCTGAACTGAGTTCTGAGAGGTATGATTTGGGATCCTGAGCACCTGATCTCCAGGGGGTTGAATGTTCTGGCTGTTCACATTCAGGACTGGGAATGCTCGGCTTTCTGGAAGTCAAACTGTGTCTGAATTAGCTGGGCGATCAGCAAGTGTGTCTTGGAATTAGAGGCTGTTTCTTGAGCTGCTTTAGCATTTCCATGGTTTAACTTTCCTATCCATAACTGGGTGTCATTCTTATTCCTCAGGAAAGGGGTTTTAAAGTTCAGTGTTCATGCATGCAACTTTGGAGAAACAGAAAGACAAAAAATAAATTCTTCTTTTCCATTGGAATGTCTCAGAGCGCTTTTAAACCGTTAATTAATTGAGCAATCATAATGATGCTGCTGTGGGGATTAAGGGGGAGGAATAATTTACAGGTGGGAGAAATGAGGCATGAATGGCTTCATAGTCTTACCTGCGCCATGCTGTTAGTCTGTGACATATTCAGACAGATACCTTCTGTCCTGTCTCCTCTCACATCTGTGGCGGGTGGCTGGGAACATCAGCTTTCTTCCAGCTTCCTCCTCTTTGCCTGCAGAGGCTCCATTTCCTTGTCACCAGGGTGCAGCTCAATTGCAAGTACAAGTGACCCGGCAGCTCCCCCAGCTCCTCGCACAACGGCAGTGAATGACAAAGGGAAAACTTTCCGGCCATATTTTACCGGAAGAAATGGGGTGCAAAACTGTGCACCAGGGTCTGCCTGCTTCACAGAGCACTTCACATTATCCCTGTGCTGCACTGAGCAGAGTGGCCAAGGGGTGTCAGCCCTGCCTGAAGTACCAGCTCACAGCTGAGGAGCAGTGTGGCCGCTCTGTGTCATCCGCCTTCCTGTCTGCACATGAACAGGTCAGGAGGCTTCTGCACACTGGGAATACTGCAGTGTGTGTACAGTAAGTGAGCACAGGGTTAATACTTAGTGTTGTGGGCTGGGCAGGGTAAAATACTGCTCTGGAAAAGGTTCCAACACACAATTTCATCTATCCAGTTTGGCTGGGAATCCTATTTAAATTTAGTTCTTAAACACAGCTGTGAAGCTCATGAAGATGTCACATTGGCTGCTCGCACAGCAACCTTTATAGCCTCCTGAGAAAATAATAAAAACAGCACTAGTGTGCAGTAATTCCAGCGGGCTGCTGTGCCTCATTCTTCTGCATGGTAATGACTGCTCCCTGTTGTGGTCCTGCAACTCAAGACATGAAGTTTCTGTTTTGCCAGTTTTCTGCTAGCAGATCTGGTTGCACATTGCATCTCTGTGACAGTTGCTCATATCTGTAGAAGAAAAAATTACTGGTGTAATTTGCAGGAATACTAGGCTTTTGATTTAACTCACAGGGCTTTTAGCTACCTTTAGCCATAGCTTTTTAAATAGCTTTTAGCTGGATTACAGTGATAAGCCCTCCAGGAAAAAAGCAGTGGTAAATGGGTGCTCATGATATATATATTTTGTACTCCTGCCTATGGTAACGTTTGTTACTTTTCTCAAATTATGTCCCTTGTAAAATGTTTCTGGTAAAGCTGCTGCCCCCTGTGAGGTGAATTTAAGCCGATTGACTTCTAGCTTTCCTAATTCCACTTTACAACCCCCCTACTGCATCTGGGACCAGAGCTCCAGAAGCCCCGTTTAATGGTATGCGTTGTCTTCCCTAGGTCATTGGCACCCTGTATTCTCCCTTTCCTCACTTAGGGCAGTCTCCAGCATCCTCTGATCGCATCCCCAGGGTTAAGAGGGTGCAGCGTGTGCAGATACAATCCTTCCGTAGAGGTTTCCTATGGGATAGTTATGAAGCAAGGAGCTGCGATCCCGGCGGAGGGCAGCGCTGTCGGGGACGCGGTGGCTGCCACCAGCTGCCATTTCTGCCCCCTGGCACTGATGGAGCTGCCGCCAGCTCCAGAGCCCCGTGCCAAGGGCTCCTCAGTCAAGTGCCTCATAAATAATGGAGAGGAGAGCAATTAGCACACCCAGCTGTAGCTGTTTGCAGAGCGCGCTTATACCTGTCACCGCGGTCTGGAAATGGCAATTTCAAAACCACTTTTTTTAACTGCTCGGAATGGTCCAGTGGGGGGTTGGGGCAGGTGAGAAGTTGCTGGCGAGGGA